TGCAAATCCTGTCAGTAAGATTTCTTTGTGGCGTACATCACTGCTTACACGTCGCAAAAATTCATCACAGTATGGCCTCTTATTCACATAATACAGTATTGGATGTTGAGGACCAGCGCCCCCTGCACCCATAAGGTTTGTGATCTGTACTTCTACCATATGGCCAGCACTCATTCGACCTCCATAATTCATACTGTGTATCAAGGTTTCGTCAAGATCGAGAATAAGAGTCTTCTGGGTGAGTTTCCCCACGGGAGCATCAAGAGTATAGGATGGCTGTCGTCGAGGTATGAGGGGTCGCGGTGGTGCTGGAGCTCGTGGATATTTTGTCATGAGGAGAGAAGAAGTTGCGGGGGACGTAGGTGACTTCATCATCGCAGCAGCCATATCGGTAGCAGACATGGAGCCGCCGGATCCATCGCTCTGAGTAGTTGTTGACGATGCCTTCCGGTGTTTCCGCTGTCTCAAATTTTCATCGCTATGAAGCTTTATGCGAATGGATCTCCTCGCGGGTGAGATCTCGTCAGAACTTTGCAAAGATTTTGAACGTGTTTGACGGTTTGACGCTTTCGTTGCAGATTTAGCTGTCTCGCTAAGGAGCCGGTCGTTATCTGATTCAGACTCAGATGAGATGAAAGACGAGGAATTCGGCGAAGGAGGATCTCTCGATGCGGGTGCGTGTGTTGCCGATAGCTTCCCGTTGGCCATATGACTTATACTGCTTTTCTCGGAAATGGGCGATCCTCCTGCCGATTGTGTGATTGAATGCCCACTTGTGCCACCAAACAGTTTTCTGAATTGAGATATTGGGGCAAAATTACCCCGTTCATCATACAAGCAAGCTATAACGTATACCCCCGGCGCAACAAGAGTAGATATCACCCATCGTATAGAGTCATAAATCATTCTCGTTATACCCGCACGTTTACTTGTATGATAAGCCATGCCTTCTTTGTGTAGTAGTGGTGTAGATTCGTGTATTGCATTGTCATCATCGGCATTCGAATCTGGCGCATCCTCCTGGTCCAGTCCTTTCGGCTCCTCGCTGTATACCTCTTCCCGCGAATTCCTTCTAGATTCTGACGTAGTTACGGATGCCAATACATTTCCCAGAGAATTTGAACGTGAAAGTGAAGGAGAATGCGGAGGAGAGCCTCGCCCCGAAAGGATATTCAAAGAATTCATAATGGTTTCCGATCCATGAAGGAAGGTTTCTAGCAATCGATCATAAACAATGGAGATGCGCGATAGTCCAACTAAAAACGCTAGGAGCGCAAAGCTCCAAAAGTCTATGATATAGGAGTTCGATTCGAAAAGTATGTTTGCGTTTATTTTCTTGTAATCCCGAATGGTGTTTTCGCCGAGTTATCGTCGACCCGAATGGGAAAATGGAAAGGAGTGAAAGTTGTGAATTATTGATATATCGTAATTGCGTATCGATGTGAGTGTACTCGAGTAGGTATGGGATGCTCCGTACGGTACAGGTATATGCAAAGCACAAAGGCGAAGTCGCTGCTCTGATCAAAATAGGATCTTGGAGAATGGATTAAAACAAGCTAAACTTTTGGAGGAAATCGCTGTTCTAAAAGAAGAAAATGATTGACCTTGGAAGAAATAGAGGAAGGGGGAGAGGAGGAGAATAGGAAAAAGAGTGTAGATGGGAATGGGGAGGGGAATTATAAGTTAGAATGTAGATGAGGATGAGCGAGCGGCCGAATAATAATTATCATATGAAACCGTGTTAATATCGAGCGAGGTAGGTAATTATAATGTACAGTTTCAGGATTATTTACAACAACACAACACAACACAACGGGAGGGAGGAAGGAGGAAGGAGGGATTGTTTATAAGTAGGACAACATAATTGGTGATGGCTGATGAGTGAATGGATACGAATACCAGCACACGACGGGTTGTTGGATGTTTTCCAATTGCACTCACTGCACTCACTGCACTCACTCCTTAATGCAAACTCACTGTTCGATTCCTTGACCGTTCTTGAGGAGTTACTTCCTTCTGCTTAGGTTCGGGCTGGGAGGTACAGTTGGTATAGTTATAGTTTGCATTCGATCATCTGTATGGTGAGGTTTCTCATTTTGATGGAACCTGCCCCCCCTAGATTACCTAGGTACGGAGTAGAGAGTTCTTGTTCAAGGTCATTGTCGACAGAGTAATAATAGGAGAGTGTCTGTAGTGAGTGAGTGTGCTGTACCTACTAGGGAGGTAGCAAAAGCATCCATCATACAATCCATTTCCCTTGAGACCAACCGAAACTTTAAGTTACGAGATAGCCTCGAGAGCCTCGATAGCTACCTAATTACCTATTGATTTGATATTGCTTTTCGCACTGGAATTTGGACCTTCAATCTTGGATCTTCCGGGTTGCGTGAAAAAGCAAGTCTATGATCCCCCTTCATCCTGAGTCATCCGTCCCCGCACTTTTGGCGGTCTAGTAATGTTATAGTTGGTCTGCCAAAAAAAGAGATCTTCAACGAACATAGTTCTTGTATCCTCGACGAAATTGAGACATAAGTTAAGATAGGATACAACTTTCAAGCTACCTATCCAAAGTTCGACATTACAAGGAGTTCGCATACGACAGTAGCAGTGACAGTATCAGAAATACTCAACCATTCAAATCCGAATTAGGAATTCCACACGGCAAAACTTCATTGAGGGGCAATCGCACTCCGCACAAATCTTCGATATCTCCAACTCCAAGCAACCACACACCACTCACTACTCGGAATTATTCCCCTCGAAATTTATCCACCTCTACACTTCGTTTGTCACATCCAATCTTTAAACAAAAAGAGATATGCCTCCAGTTCATAGTGGAGGGTATGCGCCAAACCTTGGTGCATACTTAAAATCATTAAAGAGCCAACCCGTTGAGTCATCCATAGAAAATTTGATATCGTATGTACCTTTCCTTGATCTTCAGCCAACAAACGATTAACACATTTCAGACTCTTGAAACGAAGACAGATAAGAACTTCGAGATCATGCGCCATCGCCACAGCTCATTTATTACTCCAAGTCGTCGCAAAGCAAAGATGGACGGATATTACAAAACTTTTGGAACGGGTTCGGAAAGTAGGACAAAGGTTGATTGAAGCCCAACCAAGGGAGATGGTCGTTAGCAATATCGTTCACAGAGTCTTAGGTATGATCAGAGACGAAGCAAAAGAGGATCGCAGTGAGGATGTCAGCGATTCAGCATCGACCAGTCAAATTGGTTCGCCCATGCGCGAGGGCTTCAGTGATGTGGCATTACCAAGGGCGTCACACAGCTCGCGGCCTCCTCTAACAACGTCACATACTTCCTATGCTGCTCAGTATAACATGCCTGTGCAGCAATCAATGTTCAACCTTCTCTCCGCTGCCCCTTCGCCGGCCTCAACGCCCCCAGGAACCGCGTCTCCTCATGGCAGGTCTGTGGTAGATATGACTTCACTTGCGCATAAGATGGCCTCTAGCACGAAGGATCTCAAGGCCGAAATAATCCAGGGTATCGAGGAAATTATCGAAGAACTCGATCAAGTCGATGATCAAATTTCTACTTATGCGCAGGAGCAAATTTCAGAGAAAGAAGTTATACTCATTCATGGCTCCTCAAGGAGTGTCCAAAAGTTCTTACTCAAAGCCGCGGAGAAGAGAAATTTTATTGTGATAGTTGCTGAATCGTACCCAAACGACCATTCTACAACTCATTCTACGATTACTGGAAAAGTAGGGCAAGAGACCGATGACGACCTGGACGCAGAAACCATGTTAAAGCCACTTTCTGCTGCTGGAATCACAGTTATTGCTATAACAGATGCTGCAGTATTCGCAGTAATGCCGAGAGTTACCAAAGTTATTTTGGCTACCCATACTGTTATTGCTAACGGTGGATTGATAGCCGCAGCCGGGGCACGCATAATAGCAAAAGCTGCAAAGTTTCACAGAATTCCGGTCATTGTTGTTAGCGGTGTCTATAAGCTGAGTCCGGAATATCCTTTCGAGTTTGAATCGCTCATTGAATATGGCGATCCTGGAAATGTAGTTGGATTTGAGGATGGTGGGTTTGTAGATAAGGTTGAAGTTGACAATCCTCTTTTCGACTATGTCTCCCCTGATTTAGTTGAACTTTATATCACCAACTTGTAAGTCCCACAACATAACTCGATGAATATCACTAACAAACCAAACAGAGGAGCCCACGCGCCGTCTTACCTATACAGGATAGTTGCAGAGCACTATAAACCAGAAGATATAAATTTTCATAAGCCAGAACTCAAACTGTAAATGTAATTAGGTGGCTTGAAAAATGAAAATAATCTTCTATGGCTCCAATTCGATTCCACATTATGCATTTCTTTTAGTGGGGTGTATTAATTAGACTCTGTCTGCTCAGATTTCACAGCCAGTAAAATTTTACTAGAGAGGCTCCGGGTTTGATTGCGAAAGGTATGATTTTAGAGCTAGTAGTGTACGAGGAATCCATATATGGAAAAAAGGAAGGCTTCCACGGCTTCAAAGGTATCGCAATACTAAGATGTTCAGAACTCGTACTTTGAGCCAAGCTTTCGTGGTGGAATCATCGATATCAACAACTTGATCACAATGACGTTTGTAATGCAACCAACAAACAGTGCATCTTCTTGGTACCAATAGTCATTCTCGACTCTCTTGCTACCATGGCTGCCTTCGTTCGAACGCGTAATCTTGCAGAATGGTGACTGATATTCTCGCTTAAGCATGTTGTGAGACGGAAGGGGGACAGAGATTGGCAGATATGAATGATTGCTGATGTGGGGGTGCTGATCTACGACAGGGCTGAATTTATAGCTCTACTAAATCGATTAGGTCGACTTTAGTTGAAAAGCTCAAGCTATTACCATTTTCTGATTATTTTATCCAAACATTCATTTCTTGCTCTATCCTACGTTGTTGTCAAAATACCACCTTGCCACCATTACTTCTTCAGTCGTTGATGCGATCTATAGTTTGGAACCATGGATCATAATGCCCCTCCTCCATATAGCGAAACCGATATCTTTTCAAATACCAATACTACGATCCCAACACCCACAACGACAGAAGCAGATGATGCATCTAGATTGAATGGAAGAGTCCGATCAGATTCATCGTCTACTGAAAATTCGTTAATATATACTCCTCCTTACTCACCGATCGAGCCTGATGATCAATGTAAGCACAGTTATTTTAGCTCCTTGACCAAACGGTGCGCTGGTCTCGTATAGAGATTCATTTGCATGTTTCATGAACAGCAACAAGAGAGCTTGGTTAGGAGTTGATACATTGCAGAAATCACATATACATAGCTCCGGAGACAAACTAACCTCCTGCAATCCTAGACTCGAAAAATGATCCCAGAAATTTATCTCCTCACAACTACTTCGAGTCACGACCATCACCGCTGCAATCTTCGGCTCCCAGAATTACTCAGCATGAAATATGTGTTACTCCGAGCAGTGCTCCAGATGATATTCCCATCCCATCTTCCGCGCCAGACTTTGGCATCACACAGCAAGATTGGTCAACCTTTGTAAACTACTTACTACCCAACCATACCCTCAATGTCAACAAGGACATTGCCGACCGCAAACTCAAAGCTGAATTGATTGACGAGCGTATGCATAGACTTACGCTTGATGAACATGATTATTCTAGACTTGACATGAATGAAGTTCGAGCTCAGTTTCGTCCGCTTCGTCAATCCGTCACGGTATCCAATACGGATTGGATAGGAAAGGTAGATGAAGTGATCCAAACCTGGAATTCAGGGTTCTTTCTTCCTCGTGGATTGGAGATTCGTTGCATTGATACGGAACAGCCTCAATTATTTCAGGATAGAGACAATAACATGCCTGGTTCTTGGATACCAGATGAAGAAGAAGAGTCGCGCATTCCCGAGCGAAATCGAGGTCGGAGATGTTTTTTGAGTCGTTATTCTATGTCTGGTCAAGGGGCTCGGGGCTTTAGATTAGGTTCTATGGTTGCGGATGATGAGGGATTTAGAATTGGAAGGAATGGTATTGTGGCCGACTCGAATGGTTTGCGCATTGGTAATATGTTTGTTGCTGATAACAAGGGGTTGCGAGTTGGTGGGAGTCAAGGTATTGTAGCTGATGAGCATGGAGTTAGTATTGGCGGTCGTGGATTCGGAGGGAGAAGGAGAGGAGGTGTGAATGCACCGGAGACTAATCGAGGGCGGGAACAAGAGCCAGAAGAGTGGCATGGGATGAACGTGTGGGGAAAGGGGGTGTTGCACTCGCGAGAGGCTAGCTGGAGATGTGCAGAAACCCCAGAAGGACGGTATGAAAGAAGAGGAAGAGGAAGAGGCGGTCTACACACGCAGGATCCCCACAGAGGAGGAAGACATGAATCCGAAGGGTATCACCGTGGTCGCTCACAATTCCATCACGATCTCCACGAAAGAAAACCAAGAGATCATTCCTCTTCATCCTCATCATCTTCATCCAGCTCCTCCAGTTCCTCCTCTTCAACATCTCTCGCTTCCCTCCCCTCCCCCGACCATCTCCCCGACCACCAACTCCCCGCTGCCAAAGAATCCCTACTAGCATGGCTCCACCATCCCGAATATCCCATGACGCAACAAGCCATTCAAAAATTAAAACACGACCTCCAATCCGCGAAGAAGAACAAGAACAAAAACAAAAAGAATCCCAATCCCAACATCACCGATTTCACACGTAACCAAGACCTCGCCACCCTCCGCAAAGAAGTCGCAGATCTCCTCCGAAAATTCAACGACGAGCAGAAATCTCAAAAAACCATTCGCAAGATTCTGCGCAAGGAACAGCGAGGATTGAAGAAAGCACATAGGAAAGAACGAAAGAACATACGCAAAGCGGGGCGAAAAGGCGCGAAGAAAGATAAGAAGGAGAAGAAAAAGAAGGAGAAGAAATGTAACAAAAGAGATCTTTCACATGGTCTACCCTCTGCTCCTACACCCACCTATCCAGAAATCCCCGAGATACCAAATGCGAGATTTCATCCGCCTCCAAATCTTCCCGTTCCTTTATTCCACACCTCGTTTAGCGGGATGCAGAATCCTGGCATGACATCTATGCATCAAGGAACATGGCCTTTTCTCTCTTCTCCTCTTCCTCGTCCTCACCCTCGCTCTAACATCCCACCTCAAATCCCAAGGTCCTCCTTCCCTCTCCATCCTTCCCCCTGCGCGCAAAATTCCTCACAAAGCCACGCTCAGGCTTCTGCTCTCCTAGCTAGCGCTACAGCCAAGGAAGTCGAAGCTAGGACTCTAGGGGTCGTTTTAGAGAGTCGGTATCTAAATAGAGGTGAAAGCGATGATGACGTATTGGAAAGAGGAGAGCAGAAAAAGCGAGAGATGGAAATAAAGAGGCTTCTAGAGGAATCGGGGGAGTTGAGGAGAGAGGGGGAGAAGTTGATGGCGGAGGCGACGCAGATGGATGCGGAGTTTGCGAGGGAGATTCAGGAGCGGGAACGGGAGGGTGAGGGTGAGGGAGAGCGACAGGCGTGGGAAGGATGGCTGGGAAGTAATGAGAGTCAGATTGGTGGGATTTTGGCGAGGGGAGTATGAATGCATGTATTGATAATGGGATAACTGGTTTATTCCGTCTAAGAGTTGTTGGGTTTGGATCTTCAATCTGTGCTGAACGTTTTGAGGATTGCGCTGATAAATTCGGACGAATGTAATTCAATATCTAACCCCCAGCCATGTCTTGGTAAATGATCGTCTGAAGTCTAATAATGTTTAATCTACCACTCAGTCATGAATAAGTACGAATGTGTGTATACTTAAGCGATGATGATGATTAGACGAGTAAGTTCTTCATTTCTGCTCAACATGACTTATCAGGACTTGTTCACTTGCAATCAACTATCCATATTACTCTTGTGATATGGCGTAAAAAGCCTATTCATATTTTCCAAATTATTTTACTTGTAACGTAATTTATCAGCATGTGGGCTATATCAGTATGTGGGCCACTTTCACCTCAATTTATACTTTCGAATACGGATTATTCAATAATCATTATATCAATTAATTAAAACTATTAAGAATCTAATAATCTAGAATCTATTACATTATTTTAATAAATTCTTGAATTATAATCTGGTTTTCTATATTTATTATAGTATTTATTAAAAGATACTTTCTTATTAGAATTCCCCTCATTTTGATGTTTATTATATTGAATCTAAATATCAACCTTTTATTAAGATAATATATTAAGAGCTTTTTGTTCAATAAGTATTCCTTCTTAATGTAATTGAGTTTTTTTTGTATATCAATGTTTACTTAATACTTTATTTGCTTTTCGAAGTGTATAAATCTTTATATTCAAAAGTGTATTCTTATAAGCTAATTTCTCTGTATTCTTAATTAGAATTAGTATAATTTTAAATAAAAGTATAGGGGAGCTTAATTAATAACAATTTATTTGAGATTTGATTAATATTGATTGAAAAAGAGCTTCAATTGGGTTATAAAGGGTTTAAGAGATTTATTGATTTAGATTGGAAGAGGGGGGAGGTAGATGTACAAATTCGAATATTTAATTTCGAAAGTACAGCTTCAGGATTAAATAGTATTAAACCTATTCCTCGAAATCCTGATTTTATATTCTAAGAGATAATTGATTCTTCATATACAATTTTAAAAGCTATAAAGAATTCAATCTTCGAAATATAATTGATATATGCCTTAATAAATCCATCAATTTGAATACTATATGAATATTTCAGATTACTAAAATAGCTCCCATTAAGTAGTTAAGTTAAATAACTTGAATATAATAATAAATACACATATTTAATGTCATTCTCCTTATAATAATTCTGAAATAATATTGATTCATAACTTTCATATCTATCTAATACTAATATTCAATATTTACTCTTTCTTCAATTCTTAATATACTTATCGAAATGTTTCAATCATTTTAAATCTGTTTCATTATTTATTTATTTATTAAATGTAGGTTTAATAGCCTATTCCATAGGAAGATTCGTTTCAATATACCAATTGGAGAGATGAATCTATCCTTGAACCATTAGAAATAGGGGAATAATTTCATTCTCTTTATTTCCATATATTATCGCTATAGCCCATTCCCAATTGCCTAGTTGTACTGATTTACTTCTATCACATCTTTCAATATTAATAATAATCATTATTGTACTTATAATCCCTATTATAAAGCCTATTTTATTGAAATTATAGAAATCTTTATTCAAAATATTATATTTCGCTTATATATTCACAATCAATCAAAACCAATCTTCAATAAGCTTAAAATCTTTATAAAGAATTCTTTAAAAATTATAAATATAATTAAAACATATCTTTAATTCAATTTAATACTTTATAAATCGATATACTCAGAGCTTCTCAATATATTTCATACTTCTTAATTCAAGAATATAATTTGCTATATCTTCTATACTTTTGATTTTAGATAAAAATCCTTTTAAATTTATATTGAATATATATTTGATAATAATATTCTTTTCTAATTCCGAAAAATTATAAGATTTATATTGATATTTTATATAAAAAATAAAACTATTAATTCTATATTATAATATTATACACAAAATATTATATATTTTAGTAATCTTTTAAATACTTAGTTTTTTATTTTTTTGAATAGCTTCAATGATAAAAAGTATATGGACTTTTTGGTTATTCAAATTCATTATAGATCATTAATAAAACACATGTTGAAAGAGAAAAGTATAAATTGAGGTGAAAGTGGCCTACATGCTGATATAGCCCACATGCTGATAAATTACGTTATCTGTCTTATCGACAATTGGATACAATGTGAATATCTCCTCCTCAATACCTCCTCATCTCCTCTCATCCCATTTCATAAATTACCTTCCCGGAACATCCAAAAGAACACCACCATCAACTGCAATAATCTCTCCATTTACATAATTATTCTTCGATAAGAATAACACAGCCATTGCCATTTCCTCATCACTATACATATCATTAGCATTCCCGCATTCTCACCTCCAAATCAAATGATAAAACACATACCTCCCACCCCTCTGCATAGGCACATGACCCTTCTTCTGCACCTTCTCCTCATCCAAATAACTCTTCTGCGCCTCATCACTCTCTCCCGTCGTCATCTCACTGGGAAAATACCCCGGCGCAATACTATTAACCCTCACCCCAATCTCCTTAAACTCAAAACTCATCAACTTACTCAAATGCACCGTCGCGCCCTTCGCCGCATTATACGAGAAATGTCCCTGCGCATGTCGCATAATCCCACTCATACTACTGATCACAATCACCGAGCTGGACATACGTCCATGAACCTTGTGAGCCGCCTGTAGCAGCGGGAGAAAACACACCGTGGTGAAATACACAGCTGAAACATTAGTGTTAAAGGTGGTACCCCATTCCTCGAAACTTTCCGAATTGAACAGTTTATCTTTTAGCTCGACGGCGTCGGAGGAATTGGGCTCGGCTTTGGGGCCGGAGATCCCCGCGCCAGCGAGGAGCAGACTGATGTATGTCTCCTTTTTGCTGATTTCGGAAACGAGATTTTCGAGATCCTTTTTGCTGGTTACGTCACAGGGACCGATTCTGTAGCCTTTGATTAGATGCGCTACTTATCTCGACTACCGTGACTGTTGATAGACAGATGATAGACAGATGATAGACAGATGATAGACAGATAATAGACAGATGATAGACAGATGATAGACAGATGATAGATAGATGATAGACAAACGATAGATATATAATAGACAGATGATAGATAGGGAAACTAGGTAAAAAAACTCACGGGATAATAGAACCTCCAGATGTGGGAGAATGTTGCTTGGCTGCATTTTCTAGAGCTTCCATTCGGCGACCTGTGATGTATACTTTTGCTCCATTGGCAGCTAATGTTTGGGCTGCCCTATTTGATTATTAGTATGTAGTCAAATAGAAATACTCCAGATATGGAGCGAGGGGGGGGAAATACATTAATCCAATACCAGTTCCGCCTCCAGTGATGACGCAAACATCATTCTTCATAGAGAAGAGATTCTCAGCTCGAAGTTCATTTGTACCAACCATAGTGACGTATTAAAGTTTGAAGTAGGTAGGGAGAGAGAGAGAGAGAGAGAGAGAGAGAGAGAGAGAGAGACGAATTTAATATGTTCTTATGTTAAAAGAAGATATAGTAGGTTGGTAGAAAGTTTAACAACATCTAACCTTATGTATAAAATTTGAGAAATCACATTACTTATATTCTTTTGTTCCTACCTACCTTAAGCACCGGAGTACTTGCTCCTTGATCTGATATTTACAATGGAATGTTTGTTCGTTTCATACGTCACTGCACTTTGGTTTGCGGGCCGTTTGACGTGGGGGAAGGAATATAATATGTAGCCGCCACTGATCGCTTGTAGCTCCCGTTAAAGCTGGAGCTAATAGTATCAACCGAGAAAGATCGATCGATGCCGATATCATTCGTCAGTGGTGGGGTGATTAGACAAGATGCATGTTTTTGGTGAGAATAAGAATTGCTCAATTAGATGGGAAATTATACATGTCAAAGGAGAATTCCCATCCTGGATATAACGCCTTCAAGAATTTATTCATGAGATTGATAAAAAGGCACTCAAGCCTACCTAGTCTTCACATGAAAACTTCTCACGGTCACTTCGATAGTTCCAAGGCTGTATAAGATGTACACATATTCATTATCCTGTATATTCCCCCAAATATCGTGAAAATCATCATTATATTACCACAACTACTTCATAGTTCTACTCATTCATCATGAGTCATGGTATGTTGAGAAAGCTTAACCGCATTACGCAGTGACTCTCCCCTCCATTGTTGTACATATTAAAGTCTTCGAGGTGATCGGAAGGTCCTTATGATGACTCCTCAACCAAGACCTTATTCTCCTCCAAAACCTTTGCTAATTCTCCATTTTGGTGCATGGCGACCAAAATATCACATCCACCGATAAATTCCTTGTTGACATAAAGTTGGGGTATGGTTGGCCACTCGGAGTATTCTTTGATTCCTATTCGACATGTATGTTAGATTCCATATAGCATATAACAAAGATTGGTGTTTCTGGAGACAAACCTTGTCTTAAACCTTCATCCTCAAGTACATTAAGAGCAGCAAACTTCTCTGGGTTCAAGCCTTGCAAGCTCAAGATCTGAATAGTTGCCTTTGAGAAACCACACATTGGGTTTTCTGGCGTGCCTTTCATGAATAGGACAACTGGCTTTGAACCAACAACTTGATCAATCTGCTTGCGAACTTCTGTAGAAAGATACCTGGATGCGATGGGGGAGAATCGAGGGGTCGAGAATTTGGAGGCAAATACCGCGGGGCGGGCAGCTTGTCGGAACATCTGATTAAAGTTAATTAGCATTCCGGGTACCATGTGCAGGTTCTCAATGAGTTAAAGCATTCGACATACTGATGACAACATTGGTTTGGCAATCATATTGAAATATGATATCGTATTGTACAAGATTTGTGGAATTTGATGTATTTTTTTTGGTGGCCTTGCCTCTTGGTTGATAATGTTTAAGAGCTTCGGAGAATGGAGGCTCGGAAGAGCTAACCTATTATCGAACCAATCAATGTCTGTGGTATGTAAGGTTAATATGAAATATGATCGATAACTGCATTCAGCCTTACGAATCAATCATTCGATGGAAAACATCCAATAACAATGAATAATGATGAGTGAATAGAAAGTATTTAATCATTCCAGATTCCATTTCTTTCTAATACAGCTTCCTTCTTCTGTTAATACAGCATGTAAGATACTCAACTCTCATACTCTCTCATACAATCAATCTTCCAATTGCTTCTCAATATTCAACTTATACGAACCCATCAAAATCTTGTCCACCATGTTACAAATGATCCATACCGGGCGTGACGAGCACCGAACCCGAGTCTCTGGAACATCACACCCTTTTACGGCTGCGGATCATGCTTCCGATGGTAAACGACATCTCCTCCTAGCAGCCAGTGGATCCGTCGCAACCATTAAGATTCCCAACATCCTCTCCGCTCTATCACATTATCCTACTCTCTCAATTTGTGTCATCCTTACCAAATCTGCAACCAACTTTCTTCAGGGTCAGAGCTTGGAACAACCACATATCGATACTTTTCACCGATACGCCAATGTGCAAGGTGTGTTTTTGGATGAGGAAGAATGGATTCATCCTTGGAAACGTGGTCAGAGTATTTTGCACATAGAGTTGAGAAGATGGGCACACCTGCTTGTTATTGCGCCATTGAGCGCCAACACGATGGCTAAGATTACGGGCGGTTTTAGTGATAATTTGCTCACGAGTGTGGTGAGAGCATGGGATACTACTGGAGAAGTGGAAGATCCTGCTCAGAATGGTGTGGATACGACTGGGGAGAGGGCTTTCAGTGGCAAGAAAAGAATTGTTGTAGCTCCGGCGATGAATACCGCTATGTGGAGACATCCAGTAACGAAGAGTCAAATCAAGATCTTGGAGCAGGAATGGGGTATTGGTCCTGATGGGAATGAGGGTGAGGGATGGTTTGAGGTTTTACGACCTCAGGAAAAGGAGCTCGCTTGTGGAGATGTAGGGGATGGGGCCATGAAAGATTGGAAGGAGATTGTGACGGTAATCGAAAAGAGGCTAAAGCTGGAAGCATAATTAGTATTGAGAGGTGATATGCTGGCAATTTCCTTCAAAGGAATATAACTTCCACGGATGGAGGATCAATCCATGTCTAGCTGTTGGGTATGTCGAAAAGTGTCTCGGTGTTTTTAACAGGTTACGGCGTAAAGTTGGCGTTCGGGATATGGAATGGCATCTGATTTAAAGGTTACCTCAGAAACCATGGACTTATTATGTTCAGCTTTGACAATTCGTATTCTCCTATTACCCTCGTTGCAATGTCTGAAAGTTAGACATTGAAAATCAAGATCAAGATGAAAATTTAGGTGAGACTGGGAACTGAATCTTGACTAGCTCAGAAGACTCAGTGAAGGATCTCTCCTGAGGTTTGAATATTGTAACCACCAACAACATTTACACTCTTCGAATCACTCGAGAAATCAAGCTGCAGGTGGAGTCAAAGAGATCACACCGAAAGCGCATAAGATCGATCATCGAATCTGATACTGAGGCATTTTGTACTCTATGAGTATTAATCCCACAATTAAAATCACTCTACACTTCGTTATATCTTTCGTGTCTCTTTCGACTCCCTCGTTCGTTTCTATCCGTCTCAGTTTAGCGCTCTCGAAACATTGCAGGTAACTATATCACGAATCAACAAAAATTGTATCGATGCAGAGCACCTCACAATGCTAGTAGCGTTTAGGACTTACCTCATAATGACTTCTCTAATTATAGATGATGGTACTACAATCGATCAGATGGGATTATACGCCGAGGAGACATGCTCTGGTAGGGTCAATATAGGAATTCGAGAATAGAAGGATGGGCGCTCACCTGCAGAATCGCGAACTAGATCATCAGAGATCGCAATGAAATTCACAACCATATTGTTAGAAGCTCATCTATTAATGGAGAAAATCTCATTATTCTCTTTGGTATGGTGGAATTTCATTATGAGCCTCACGAATTGCGCATGTCGTTCAGGTCGTTCCTTCCTCCTTCAGCACTTCGGAATTGGGATCATGTTAAGCGACTTCCACTTTCAATTTCAAAGTTCCAATACAACATTTTGAAATTATCCAAATCACTTCATCGTCCATCAAAAGGTTCAATCTCAATGTACGAAGTTCTTTTCTAGTTCAGAGGAAAAGGTTGATATAACCCGCCTAGTACAATTCGTCTCTACATTCCTATTAGTATATCAGGCGTCACGATGGCCCGTCAACCCAACCATCAAAAAGTCATTCCAGACACCCACCGCAAACCGCTCGATAGAAGTAAAGCACAAGGCGCAAAATCAAAACCCAAGACATCCAAAGTATCCAAGAATACATCGTCACCCAAACAATCCCGAGAGCAAGCCAAGAAATTCATCGTTGTAAAACCAATTCCAAAGAACGAGGTTCGGAAACTTCAACAAAGTGGTAAAGATACACGTTCACCTCAGGCCCCAAAACACACTCATGGAGTTGAAGTTGAAGGTGAATCTTTTCTTCAGCCTGAGGATCTTTCTTCTGCTTTCGAAGGTCAGTATCGCATGGTCATTCCGCATACCACACATGTGAAGCATCTTAAAACTGACCCAACCCCCAGAATCCCTCGAAGAAGCCCGAACCCACATCCTCCGTATCGGAAAATCCGCATTCGAAGAAGCCCACAGCACTCTCCTGCAAAAACTCACCCAGGAAAAATCCACCGATCAATCTTTCCTCCAAGCCATCTCGCATAACGCACACGCACTCAGCGTACCCCTAGCCACGCAGAAAATCCAAATGACCGTGCAGCAAAAAGGACGGCGCATATCCGAAATCGTGGAGATCGGTAAGCGTATTGAGCAATTCCGACAGACGATTGAGGAGGAAGAAAATAAGCTTGATGGGTATTGGAAGGAATGGGAGGGGTTACAGATGGAGTTCAAGATGTGTGCGACGCGGGTGTTTGGCGGTGAGATGTTTGATGAGGAGGATGCGGAGGAGGGGTATCATGTTGATATGTTGTTGTTGGATAAGGAATATATGGCGCAGATCAATGGTTTGGTGGAGGAAGTGGAGGAAGTTGGGAATGATGCGGTTAGGAAGATGAAGGCTTCGGAGAAGGTAGGCTGTTTGCTTATTTCTTTTACTGTACAGGAATGTATCCATACATACATACGTACATTTGTACTAACAAGAACTCCCCGTGTAGGAAATCGATGTCAAAACAGACAAAGTACGACAAAGAATTGTAGGAGCAATGATGTGGTGAAGGATGTTTATCTCAATTTGCTCACTAGTATTGAGCTACTGCTCGTGGTGTGTTGTGAGAGATGTGATGCATGATAAGAACACATACTAGCTATATTTTCATATTTGCTCACATTTACGTCAATGATATGGCTGTGTTGTTTTGCTGGGAAATGTTTTATTTGCTGGGAGGTGCTGAATACATTATACACAAAATTCTCTATATACCCACTCTATACATCTGCACATTAAACTGTACATAGTAATCAAATGATCTAATTAATATCCTGCATGGCGAAGATTCCTTCGATTGTGACTAGACTTCCACATACTTCCTCTGCAATGATACCGATCCCCCTTTCCGACTGTATATCAAAGACGTTGAATCTCGGTACATACCAAACTTTGACTTGAATGTAATTGTCATAGCAATCCGCCAGAACCGAAATACCTTACTTAACATTTAGACTTCAAAGACTCAATTGACGATATTAGGATTCCTGATAATAAACATAATCCTATTTAAAACTCTTAAAAACAATATCCAAAAACCAAGCACATCACGATGACTCAACGGTGTAAAACGCAGACTTTATCTTTCATAAAATCATTGCTGTGATATTTGCTGTTCTATCAAAAATACACAAAAAGCCAGCCAGCCACCAACGCGGATGCGACTCTCTCTATGCAAACAGACATCTATTTCGCTGAACCAAGCCCTCGAGAAAAGCAAAAGCAAACCAATCTGCGCCATAAGATAGCCAATCATTTTTTTTCCCTCCCGCCAGCCGAAAGTGCAAATACGAGATGACACAAAAAAAGAGGACGATCTGGCTGATTGGAGAAAAAATCTCCACTGTACAAGCGAATCCCATAGCCAGAACAATCCAGAGCGCTGAATTACCCGAGTCCAATCAATGGAACGGGAGTGATTCATGCACCAACTTCATCAATGACCACACCCCATTCGTGCTCTACGTTTCCGTACATGATGTCGACCAACCACTGCTTAACCTTTGCAGCATATTCTCCGCTGTTGCCCTCAACCATGGGGATATTGATATCCTTCTCTCTGTAGTTGATTTGTGCAACGGGAACGACGAAGTATGCAGTTCCACAAGCGAAAGCTTCAATGACACGACCTTCTTTAGCGGTCTCGGCAAGCTCATCCATGGTGAAGTTGCGCTCCACGATTTCAAGCTCGGGGATACGTTCTCGGATGAGTCTGTGGTTTTGAGGTTAGAAATTTTCAAGGCAATGAAATAAGAGGACACTTACTGCAAAACACTTCTTCTGGTAACACCATCCAAGATGATCTTGTCCTTCAAAGGAGCGGTAATCAACTGTTTCTTACCCTCCTTAGTTTCCCACACAACCATAAAGTTGCTGGCTCCAGCCTCGGTAACCATTCCATCGAGCAACCACAAAACTTGATCATAGCCACGGGCACGAGCTTCCGAGTTTGCCATCAAAGTAGGTCCATAGTTGGCTCCTACTTTTGCGAAACCGAATCCACCAGGCCAGGCACGAACACCTTCTTGACTGGCAAGAAGCTTCATTCCCTTGGGCGAATCCATTGAAGGCATGAAGGTGGAGATGATGAACATTGTACATTCCTTAGGGGCAGCAACACCAACTGCAAATTCGTATTAGTGATTTTTCTAGTAAAAAGTATACTTCTCATTTGACATGGCGTCAAAGTCAAAATCTAGCAAAGGGTATACTCACGTGCTCCAGCGCTACCAATCATAGTGGGTCGCAAGTAGAGGAAAGTGCCAGGTTCTGGGAGCCATTTAGGACCATCCACAGAAACCAAAGCAACAATGAGTTTCTCCAACTCCTTGGGATCGAATCCTGGCAACGAAATACGGGTAGCGGAAGTGAGCATTCGCTGACAGTTGCAATCCGGTCTAAACAATCTGAGTTTTCCGTCGAATCCACGGTACATTTTCATGCCCTCGAAACATTCAGTTGCGTAACTAACATGAGTTAATATCTACATTCGAAACACATAATTGGTCAAAAAACACAAGATGGATCTTGTTTGGGTTGTGATATGAGGCGTCTGTTGGGAGATCCTATCCCATCCCACATCATCCTCAAACGAGAAAAATGGTGGCTATGGCTCAAGCGCCTCGCATCTAGCAAACAAAAAACAACCACCGAAAACCGAAAACAACTTACTGTAAAACAGAAGCTGTGGGAGCCAAAGAGAGATTTCCATATGGTTTTAACTCTGGTACACCCCATCCCGTCATGTTGTTCCAAACGGCTGTGATCATATGGTCGGTACATTGAGAGGCAGTATTGATGATTGGATCGCCTGCAGCGGGAACATTCATAGGTGTGGTGGTTTTGGTGACCTTAAGTAAAGATGCATCTAGATGAGGAAGAGTACCAAATTCTGTGATTGCAATCTTTTTGGTGACGGCGGCAGCTAAGAGTTCATCGGATTGTTGAACATCCTTAGGAGGAGTTTGTGAGACTGCTGATGGAGCCATTGTGAGGATGGATTTGTGATTTTTAAGGGAACCAGATACTCAATCGATACTTGATTGAAAAATTGAAAGAGTGCAAAAGTATTGAGGGTAAATTTCTTAAGAAAAATCTAATAGTTTTAATGCCAAAAAAGGTTGCAGGTGATTAGGAGAAATGGAATCTGTGGACAAAGAAAGGATTTGTAGAGTTTATATAGAATGAACTAAATTAATAAATTTATTAATTAGTAAAAGGAGTTTCGTTTGAAATTTTGAGTCACACCCCATCAAACAATTTCACTGGAGGGACTCAAGAGAGTGGAATCTAGAGACATGCACAGATAAGATTCTTTATTAACCCATGAAAATATCAAAATCTTTTGATAGAAAAAACTCAACCTCAACACTAGGGAATCAAGGCGATGTATTAAAAAAAGAAGCCAATCAACTATATTCTAATACGCCGCCAGCCGCTCATTTGGGGTCTACTTGGCAGGTCCTCGGTCAAATCATGGCCCCATGGTATAAAACGATAAACAAACATACTTATTAACTGTTGAGTAGGTAATATGTACAGTACAAGTACAAGTACAAGTACAGTACAATCTTTCGTATCTAGGTAGTTGTCATGAATTTTGCTGGTGGGTCACTGCAATGCATGGAACATCAAACTATGGAAGTAACGGCACGAAGTACATTGCAGTCAGACAGGAAGGGCGTGTTATACCAGGAGAATAGTCAAGCATTGAAGATCTACTCCAATGAGCCTGATCATGGAGAATTCAGAAGGTAGATAGATCCATGTCAAAGGGACTTCTGTCCGAAGACTCACCTCCAAGTTTCGCCTTCTAAGCATGAGAAAGTGTATTTTGGCGAGGAATGATGGGATTGTATGCGGCTTATTGGATTCTTGCTGCGGTTCATGGTCCGGAACGGAGCCGGACTTCAGACGTGGATGATAAGAAGAAGGCGTTGCAAGATGTACGAAGTAGATGTGGATGTAGATGTGGATGTGGATGTGGATGTAGATGTGTGTGCATTGCATTGTGGGACATATCAGATATGATTCATATGAAGTCGTCAATTTGGAACATTTTCATTCTTTCCAATGAAAATGAATGAAATGTATGAAATGAATGGAGTTTGATATCAATCGCTTATTGACGGGTAACGGTTACACTCGGCAGTGACTCGGATACCAAGACCTCAAAGATATGCGGAACTGCAAGAAGATTCGTTGATTCGTATCATCAGAAGTCGCAAGCACACTCATGACCTGATAGATCGCGGTTATAAATATTCATCATTGTCAATTGGCGGTAATGTTTTATCTCTAAGGGTGGATACCGAGTCAAGGCATGTTCTTTGATCAATTAATCGGATATTTATCTCTATGTTATGTAAAATTAGGTGGTATCTCTATCTATGAACCTTTCTTTGGCTGCTTCTCTACCCTCGAACTTTTCCTTCACGTTTTGACCCATTTATGCAGTGTTTTCCTTTAATCGTTGCTCTTCTTCCAATCGTTCGCGAGTCCTTTGAGCCTCCTCGCCAATACCTTTGACTCCTTTTACGCGTTGTCTTTCTTCATACATATCTCGACTTTTCAAAATTCGTTGTACAATTTGACCAGCATTGACAAATGCAAATTCATGGTTTCCAATCTCACGATAGATTCCCATTTCCTTTGCTGCGACGTATGGATCATAGGTCAATGGCATGAAACTTGTCGGCCCATGATAGACGGCATCAGGTACTCCCCATGGAGTTGTTGTAAGATATGCCTTGGAGGGAGTAAAAGGCGCACCAAAGATGACGGCGTTGACATACTATACAAAGTTAGGATTACAATCTGAGAGAGAACTGCGGGACAATCAATACCTTGCATTGCAACACGCAAAGACCTCGTTCGTAGATATTCATGATTGGATAATTGACTCCTTTCCAGTGATTGATAACTTCATCATCGTGAACTCCAGCCACCACGAAACATGGGGCATAGTCTGCCCCTTTACCAAGACGTTCTTGTACAGCCTCTTTGTTGTACCAGCCTTCTCCCTCAGCGAGCTTTTCTTCCGCCTTTATGACTTGTCGAAGGAATTCAATATGACCCGAGGAAAAGAGATCGAAGCCACCATCAACATATACGACTCGCTGACCAGGTTTTGGGGTGGATCCTTGCATCAATAAACTGAAAACTCCCTTCTCGTTCTCGGTCTCGTCCTCCCTGGCTGCAATCGAAGCTTTCCAAAACCAAACACTTGAGCCTGGGTTAAGTCCAGTTTCGTCGGTAGCATACATTCGCATTCTTTCGGTCATAGCTTTGCCTTCAGCATGTCTCTCCTCCGGAGTTCCAGAGCCATCTTCCCCAGCCAAGAGCTTGGGAAGTGATTTGATAAAGTGCGTTCGTGTGCAGAGTAACATTCGTCCTACAAGATCTGTCGTTGAGATACTTGGCGTTCGCTTTACGACCTTGAATCTACCTGCAGCCTTGACAAATCGATAACAATCTTCCCCACTGCTGTCCGATGTAATATCATCGCCGTGAACTACATATTTGCAACCATAATGAGAAATCCATGGCAAAGAAGTAACATATGGCGCATATGATACCGACTGTGTAACCCATCTGCAGGCATCTACTGCCGCGATTCTTGAGGATATGGTATCAGTAAATCATTCCTCGTCCAATGGTCGTCCTGAATTACCGTTCTTGGAGCGTCATGACCGTAGGTCCTTTGTTCTCGAGAATTGATTCGTCTGAATGAATTCCTACAACCAACTCATTCCCCAATTGTCGTGCTTGAAGCATGGCGCCGGCATGTCCTGTCGAGGAATCAACATGTTAGCATATGGAGTCAGGGGTAAGCTTTCAACATAGCTTCCTGGAACTCTATACAAACAAACGTACCATGATGGAAGAAGTCCCAACATCCATCTACCCATATTCTATTCTCTAATATCTCAGGTGCTCCTTCACCAAATGGACCTTCTTCCTCGAGATTATTGGCCATAATTTTGAATTAATTGATTGAAAGTATTATTCTTTAGTTTTGAAGATTGATATATTTCCCAAAGGTGTTCCTTCACATGGATAAGGTTAAGAAGGGGTTGCGGGGCAGCTCCTCCCTTTACCGCTTACCAGCAGATCAAATCAATCAATCAATCAATCAAATTATTTTAATCAATCTCGTCAATCTTGTCCATGGATCACATTGTCCAAGTTCTACACAGTACCATGTAACTGGAAAAATTGGAAAATTAGAACATGAGGCTACATTCCAGAGAATATACAGCCTCGGAGATTCAAAGAAAGAAGGTGACGAAAAAGAGTCCTCCGTAACCAAAGTTTGTGAGATGCTTTGCATACCTACCTATGTTGATGTTCGAATCATCCATTCGTCAGATTTATCTACCTATCTGGGTCCTCGAGTACGAAGTATATCATTCGTGCTATTTCTTCAACGGTTCAACCACTCCAGATGAATGGATTCCGCAAAGAACCAGTTAGGAAGCTGCCATGATCATTCCATACAGCTCAGCTGTACAAATAGGCCCATAGGATGTAAGGTTAACCCCTTTCAAGCAGCCTTACCGTCTTACACCCCCCTGAACGTTGGGGTCAATAGACCGATAAAGTAGAATGGGCAGCGATACACCACCACCTATGTGGTTCTGAACAATGAAACTATTGGGTTACAGGATACCTAGATCATCTTACATATGGGACATGAAGGATAAGACCAGAGGAGTATAGATATAGACACGGTCTCCGATTCCTTCCTCTCGAATTCGATCTATAATCTCGTACTTTATTGTGCTTAGAGCTTTTTGCTTCTTCAGTCAATCCTTCCTTCTTTTTTCCAATTTTGTCTGTTGCTTTTTCCTCATCCTGCAGATTTGCTTTTTGCGGTTGAAGTCTGGGGATGAGACTTCGGTATTTCCTTTCTGATCCACTCGAATGAATAAATGATATTAGTACATTTCCCAACAGGATTTGATAATATATGTCCCTTTTAATTCCTTTTTTTGTCTCTCGTGTTACGTGCGAAGTTTTCTTTAAAAGCAGGAAGGCATACCGACGACAACGAAAGCGAAAAAGCCCCAGAAGACAACAAGTAGAGGACCTCGAGTGTGAACATTTCACTTGAAGAAAACATTGAAGGAACCCTTGGAAAGAGAAGAAAGGTAGGGGCTATTATCGGAAAATCGAACATCGAATTAGCCGATATTGTGGCGTATGATTGCGGAAAGATGCATCGACCTACACCCTCCTCAAACACCAATGGTGGACTCTTCAAAGGTGGTAATATTTTTGGGGGCAGTAAGACTCCATCTTCAAATCGTCCAAGTACTAGCGGAGGTTCCCCTAAAAGCGAGTCCAAATACAGTCCAACACATCAACCGACTCATCAACCGACTCACCAACCGAGACCATCTGTAACTGGCTTCAGTCGCAAACCCTCCTTTTCTGCATCCTCTCGCCATAATCGACGTAATAATTCCACTGCGCATTTACATTCTGCACTGCTACCTAACCTTCCATTGTTTCCCACCTCAAACTCCTCTGAAACGCATTCTGCTGCGAACAATCCCTATGTCGTACCAGTAAATCTTCCATTACCACCCTCGGATCCCCGACAGAGTATAGATAGTTACGATCGCGTTGTCTTGGCAGAAACCATCGGAGCCAATTCGTTTGGAGAAACATTACCGCGTCAATCGATAGATGCTCAATCTTTCACCTCGACGACGCCATATTCGAAGATGCTTGCTAGACCAGGCACGGGTTATCAATCCTCAGGGGGAGGACCTGCGGGACCAGGTGTGATGGCTCCAATGCAACCCGGTAGTCCTACGCTTGAGACCATAACTTACCAGCACATACAAGAGATGGCGTCGAAGAGAATATCTACTTTGGACTATTTACGAAAGGCGTATGTTTTCGCTGTCCCTTCATCGCAACTTACTCCGGAAAGATTATACTGACAAGTCAACTCGAATAGTCATGAAGGAAGGGTCTA